TAGAAAGGAGCACACAATTTAGCAGCGAAGCCTGGAGTTCTGATTCCAAGGCTTAGTCACTGTGGCCCTGTTGTCCTGTTGTCTCCAGTACTTGGAATTCTAACTGTCCTTGTGAGAAAACTATACACTTTGGCTGCAGCTTCAGTGGCAATTCCCATAAGGGCAAGGCCTAAATCCACCATTCAGGAGCAGGATCAGGATAGCTTGCTGCCACCACTGGCAGTACTGATAATTTAGTGAGCAGTCCTTAGGAGGCCTGATCATATATACTATGTCATGTATCCTAAATCTAATTCTTTATTTGTGCATTGTACTATCGGTAGATTTTCACATATTATGTTATCAACAAGTCCTACATATAACTTAATTTCATGGAAATACTTAGATTAGCAGATTTATTTCCTTATGGTTTTAGCTTTCTAACTTAAAGTTCTTTGTACTTAGCTTTTGGGTAAAAAATAGTTCTTCTTTTATTTTGAATTATAGTATCTCTGAATTATATATCTAATAAAAATGACTTGCTTTTTTAATGTCAATTTTCTTTGGTAGCAAATTCCTGTTATTATTGCCGGAAATCATCAACAACAAAGGAAGTACTTGGGGAGATTTACTGAAGAGCCATTGATGTGTGTGAGTATGTGTAGCTGCTGCTTTATTTCACATTTAAGGGGGAACAAAGGTGCTCTTTCTCCTTTTCAATCTCTAAGTAAATATTGGGCTATGTGGCATTGAGACAAAAGTTAGCAACATAGTTAGGTACAATGTTTCTGGGATGCCAAGAAAGTGTCATAATCATACCATTTATTTCCAGGAGAGAGATCTGTTTGTGATGTTTCTGGGATGCCAAAAAAGTGTCATAAAAATCCCCTTACTTATATTCAGGTGAGAGAGATCCACTTAATGGAGCATTTTACAGAACTGAGTGATTGCATCAGGAAGTTCAGATTGAATGTAGGGGACAGTTTGTGTTTGAACTAGCCGTGTTTTGAACTAGTAAAAAACTAATGTGAACCTGTGACTGAAGAGATACCAACTTATTTGTTCAATGTGTGAGTTGGGAAGAATAGTTATAAATTTTATTTAAATTCCTTAGAGAGCAACTCAACAAATTTTTAAATTGGATTTTTGTAAAAAAAGATATATTTTTGTTTGTTTGCTCATGATTATTTTATTGACACTTTTTTATTGTTACAAAGGGAAAGTACGGTGTCAAGGATGTACAAGGGAAGGCCATGCATATGAGGGGACACAGCATCACCTTAGATCTTAGGAAGCAGTGAGCATCTGATGGGTCTTTGGGGAAATAGGAAACGGGGAAAATCCAACAAAGAACAAGACTAGCATAAGAGAAACAAAAAGGCCACAAGATGCAGTATCTACCTGGATCCACAATAGAGGGCTAAGTGAAGTCATGATTTCATCTTTTTTGAGATTATAAAGTATCTGGGAAAAGAGTTGGGGGAAGAACCAATTCTTCAGAGAATTACCAGGGTTACAGCATGAATGAGTGGAATTAAAGAGCCACTGATGAAATTGAGGAAACAGCTATATAGGTTCTAGCTGGTGAACGGGAGTGGTAATAATATCACACGGTTGCCCTTTATTGAATCACAGCTACTGCACGCCAGGAACCATGCTAGACTCTCCACATAATGATTCCTAATCTTTGCAGAAACCCTGGCATTATTATTATCCCAGTTTCACAGAAGAGAACATTGAGGCTATAAGAAGTAGCTTGTCCTGGTTGCACAGCCAGCAAGTCAGGTCAGCAGAGGCACACAGTCTGCCAGGCTCTGAAGTCAGGGTGTTTTCCACATCGCTACTTCCCAGGATTACAATTTGCACAAATGGGTTGGGTGAGAATGACTTGGGAGTTTACAAGTTCCCAGTGAGGGTTAAAGAACAAGGAGATTCAGGTTTGAGCAGGACATTTATAAGTTTCATGGGAAAATTACTGGATCCTGCCTCCTAGGATTTCCAGGGAATGGAAAGGAGAAAAGAACTATGGTGGGAGGTGATTTCGATTAGCGGGTTTCTTTGACGAAGGGAACTGGCAGAAGGAGTCAGGCCCTGCGGTGGGTCCTAGGCAGCAAGCCGGTAGTTGGGGTGGACCTGGGGCCTGATGTCGCAGACCATGCCAAGAAGCTGGGCCAGGACGTGCTCTCGGTTTCTCTGCTGGGAGCCCTGCATGCCCTGCACCTGGCGCCCCGTAGCCTGCTCCACCTCAGCTGACAGGTTCCCCTGGGAGCCCATGGCCGCCTGCTGCTTGCTCTGGAATTCCTGCTCTTGCTCTCTGCGGTATTGCTCTACCTCCATCTGTGCCTCCTCCTTTGCCTGCTTCAGTCGCCTGGCCTTCCTCTTCCTGGCATCTGCCACCTTCTCAGCCGCCCGCTTCTCAGCTTGCAGAAGCTGTTGGATAGCCTGGGACTGACTGGCCATTTCTGTTGTTATGGCTGATGCTGTTTCAAATGCTACCAAGGTACCAAAATAAAAAAAAAGATATTTTTATATAGATAGATAGATACACACAATGAGGTTCTGTTTTAAAAAGTATTTACCTAAGGATTTTTACTTGCTTGTTTATTAGTCAAACCGATTTCAATCTATGGTGTGACTATGATATTGAATTATAGTAGATTATTATTAGTTTTGAGCTTATTGTGAGAATTCATCTGAAAAGAGCACAAATTAATATTTGAAAATAAATGTTTTTTATTTATTTCAGATACCTAAATATTAGGCAAACTTCCCAATAAAGACATTTATACATATTTCCTAGGTAATGTGTAATTATTTTTCCCAGCAAATAAGAGTTTAGACTAAACATTCTAAATATTGTCTAAGAACTGTGTGAAACATACAGATCGTTCTTCCATAGCATACTCAGTTGGCCTTCTATATCCATGGGGGATGGGTTCCAGAACACCACCAGCTCCCAAACCAAAATCTGCTAGAAAGGAGCACACAATTTAGCAGCGAAGCCTG